ACCACGCGTAACCCTCAAGCCAACTCATGGTCGACGTGCTCATCAAACCATACGCAACTTATCGCTGTTCAAAACATACAGTGCCAAGACGACCTCGTGAATGATCCTGGGATGGAGTCCTCACGGCGGTTCGCTTTGCAATGAATGCCACGATTCATACCACTTGCGTGCAACGCCCGCACGCTCGTGTTCAATCGTGACCGATTCACAACGTCCGGTTCGAAGCCAACTGGAAGTACATTAAGGAACGTCGCCAACGACTAATCCAACAAAACAACGATAGGAAAACGCAACGCGTGTCCCTCATCAATAACAAGTCAACGATACTGTGATGATTCAACAGATCAGCAACCGCAAGTACGGTCAGCCAAAGTACAAAGGTCCTTACACTATAGACCGAGTCAATGACAATGGCACTGTACGGCTCCAACATGCTACCGCCAACGGCGCACAGTCTACCAGACTTGGAACATAAGGTATATACACCCATACAAGGCCTGATCCCCTTGTAGGATTGCCATCGTGCGACGCACATGTCTACATCCAAATCTCATGAGAGTGCCCCGCACTTTAAATCATATGTTCTCCTTGTCCGACTGCTGTCGCGCCTTCTGTGACCCTTGTCAGGGGGCGAATGCAATACACGGCTCTTTAGCCTTCGACTCGATCCTAGATAGGGTTTGAGTTCGACTCATGACCGAGTCTCTCGTGAATAGTCATTTGAGACAGGGTTCTTAATGACCGCGCTAGTCATACTAGGTTGATGATGAAACATCGCTCTAGATATTTAGCCAGCGTGGAGTACTTCCACGCTACTAGATCCAGGCTAGGCAAACCTTCCACGCGTTCCGTTTTGGGATCGTGGAGAGACGTAGGATTACTACCACAACCTACTCTATCACACTTTATAGTCTCCCGCGGGAAGCCAGATCTACGATCCCTTGATGATGATCTCTCTCGTTGATTAGTTTTCATAGCTTTCTAATCTCTCTCATAACTTTCATTTCTCTCAAACTCAAAACACTCGAAAGATCTTTACACTAGCTTTTAGCGTAGTGCACTACGATTTTAAAATGAGATGATAGTGGAAGGTTGTACATATACTTGTTCTATTGTTAGTCGTTGGCTTTGTGTTTCAAATGGTGGCCTTTGAATAAGGCAACTGTGCAAACAAGTCAACGGCTACATGAAACACCTCTTAGAACGGTTTGCAAATGCAGTTGCTACGATTGTGCAATGGGATTGTTGAATGGGCGGTGGTATACCCAATGTCAATTCGTAACTACCATTCCAGGTTAGATATTAGATCTTGTAATGGGAAAATACCATTTGTTGGCTGGATCTAGATCCGCCAATGGGAAAAACAGATTGCTGAATGGGGATCCTGCCGCGTAATAGTGGTGCAGAGTTCAGATGAGCAACTACGTGTACATTATTGGCTTCGACGACTGTCGAACTATTTCTCGATACCGGACAAAAAGTCATTCTACATGTACACAATCGAGCCATTGCTGGCTTGATTCTATGCTCCACGGAGTATGCCAACTTTATTGCATAACCCCATAGCCATGCTGGCATTTTCCCCCTTTCAGCGCTGTCATGCTATATAATGCATGCCTAAATGGAGCTAGCTAGCAACTGGTTAGCAACAAGGCCTCACAAACCAAGCCAGCATCTAATGGGGTCCTGGGAGCAATGCACTACCAGTACATGTACTGTTGTTTCATGAGTGGCTGGTGAATAATTGGCACACCCAAATAATGATTATGTCATGCTTTTGGGCAATGATCACAAGTACCGCCACATAGCCTAGTTCCATAGCAGACTGACAGGTTGGATGTTGGAACAGCATATTCATTCCCTCCAAAAAATTTCATTTCTTGTGGTGAGAGTATGACACCACATAATCCCTCAGGGGTGCTCCCAGATAAGGATGTGTTCATCAAGACCAAGCTGGTCAAGTTGTCCAACAAAAGTTCCGTGGGTAGGGTTCCAGATATGTTGGTATTTTGCAGTTCAAGCTCCTCAAGACTTGACAACACACCAATTTCTGTGGCAATTGGGCCTGAGAACAGGTTGTCATTGATATGTAACCACTGTAGCTGGGTGAGTTGGGGAAACACATCTTGTTCCAGCGGTCTGCCTTCTAATTGGTTGGCACTCTCAGTGGGGATTGACCCTGTGTAGGCAGGAAACATCACGTGAGTCAAAAGTCAAGCTGTCGAATTTCTGCAATCAGTTTGTCCCCTCCCTCGCATACCTGAGAAGTTTGTTGTTCCAAATGCTGTATGTGTCAGGTTCCTTAGGCTGCCAAGCTCACTTGGCGCTCTCCCAACAACCTCACTATGTGTTATCGACAAAACCTCCAAGCTTCGTAGCTGACCCAGTTCTGTTGGGAGTGTGCCAGACAAGTAAGGCAGGCCGGATCAAAAGCCGGCTAACGTCCGTCCGTCGTCGGTCAAAATGTGAGGAACCTCGAAAATAGTTTTAAATGCTAGCCGGCTTCTCCGTATTTAGAGCTTTCTAACGGTGTGTCAACCATTGGCTAGGTCCGCTTAGTTACTATAATGAAGCCAACCGACAGATCTAAGTAGTCGTGCGCGTTCCTGCCGAGGCTGACTCCCACACCTATCGGAACGAAGATTTTGCCATTTTCCGAGTACTTTCGATTGCGATCCTCTTTCTTCCAGTCAACCAAAGATGAGGCAAAAGTCCTCTATTTGACCACCATGACGGAGCCTAGTAGTCCTGCAGACACCACCAACACGACCACCAAGGTTACTGTTAGCCCTGTGAAGAAGATCGTGTATGACAAGTGGGCTCCTGTAGTGCCCGAAGAGAAGAGGAATGGGCTACTCTACTACAACGTCGATCCTGGGCCGGAGCGCCGTGCCAAGATCAAAGCCAACACCGACAAGGCTAGAACAGCCAGGAAGGAGCGAACCACCAGCCAAGCCACTACTAGTGCATCCAAATAGTTTAAAAGAAGTAAAGTCTATGTCTATTATTGAGTTTGTGCAAGGGTAAGAGTGTGTCATTGGTCCTGGAACGCTTGTGAGCCTCATTGTGGTTGCTCACTTTTTGTTTTGGCTGTTTTCTAAGGATCTGTTGCAACGGTTTCTCCGGACGATGACAGACGGTGCCGTCCGGGTTTTGATCCGGCCTGCCTTAAGTGCGTTGTGCTAAGCAACAAGACCGTCAGCCTTGTCATCAGCCCAACCTCGGTTGGTATATTTCCTTTGAGCTGGAGGTTCCAAGATATTGAAAAATTTTCCAAGCTCTCACGAAGCAGAGATATCTCTGGTGGTATTGTTCCGTCTAAGTTGTTGGCATTCCCAAATTGCAATGAAAGGAGTTGCCCATTGTCATCACAATGAGGAGCTTCGTTTGTGATCCAATCAATTTGTGCCCAGTTCCTCTCATTAGTATCCCAATCCAGCCAGCCTTGATTTTTCACCCAATAGTCTCCCCGTGTTGAATAATAAAATGTTGCCAGTGCAAACCTTTGCTTTAGTCGCCTTACTGGGAGATGCTGTGTAATGTTGGAGTTGTTGATATTGCTGCTTAGCCAATGATACGCCTTGGCCTGTGGAGATCTAGGATTCTCCATTGACCTGAGGCTGTATTCAGGCAGATTTAGTCTTTCCCATATTGATAGTGATGCTTGCGTTATTGAAGCTTTTGTCACTGGATTCTCTTGTATTGGGATCACTCCATTTTGCTGCTTTGCTGACTGAGTTTAAATACTTGATTCCCGAGCAAGAAGAAATACCAAAAGGATGATAGAGACAATGACAATGGCAATGGCAACAATGGCTTCCAGGGATAGGTCGAGACATAGCTTCTTCTTCCATAATCTTTTTGCCCTTGCTGTTATTGGCTTCGCAGTTGCAATCTGCCCATTTGCTAAGGCATCAACTGGGTCAGCATGAATAAGACCATACTCACAATCTGTGTCATCTTGAGATGTAGGCACCAATTCCAAGCCCAGCTCCTCCATGTCAGGATTTCCAGTCAATGGCCTACTTCTTGGGCGATAAAATATTGGTCTAATCCCAGCCACAGCATAGGCCCCAGGTCCGTCCTCACTGACCCTTTTTGCTTGAGAAAATGCCAGTGGGGTTGATGTACGTAATGGCTGGATGCTAGTGATAACATCATCAATAAAGGTCTGGGGTGAGGAAGCCTTTGAATCAAGTCTATTGGGAAATGTGGTATGATGCTGATTTCCAACAACCACCTCCATCTCTGCTTTCTCTTGCTCCCCTCTGTTCTCAGCAAAATTCCAAATGCATCAAAGGAGCTGCTTGTTTGTTGTTCTTGACCGCTGCCATCATGACTCTGTGTCTTCTCTTTCTTCTTCTCTTTGATCTTTTTCATTTTGCCCTTTACTTCATTGGCTCGCTCTCTCGTTCTTCGTGCTCTCGTACTGCACAGGTTCTGCTGCTGCCAAACAACATGATCCAACCCTTGCAATTGAGCTAGCTCGTCTACTGTATGCTATCGCAGCACCCTAATAATATATAGGACTCTACCACTTGCCACTCGACTGTTACTGTATGACTCGACTCGCATCTTTTTTTCATGGATTATTACCCCGTGGATCCCAAACTCTTTGGCCCCCGTAATGGTTTAATTTCACGCCCAGCTAGACTACTAATTTCCACTCTTCGGTGATAATCTACTGGTACTGTACAGTACCTACTAGACTAGCTACCTAGTGCTCCATACCCCCTGTTCTTTAGACCCCTCTCCCACATCGTAGCCATTCACTGTTTTTTAGATCGCATTCCTTGAATGCTGGATCTCTGAAGCTTTTAATTCGTACGGTGCGGTACGGTACGGTACGGTGCGCAGGTACAAAAATCGTCAACGAAAATTCTCTGCAAAATACTAAAAGACTGTCCACTGATAATTCAGAGGGAATACTAATACAACACTAAAAGTGTTCGGGGGAAGTGTTCGGGAGCAGTGTTTGAGAGAAGTGAAACCAAATTTGCAGAGGTCAGAGGGAATACTAATACAACACTAAAAGTGTTCGGGGGAAGTGTTCGGGAGCAGTGTTTGAGAGAAGTGAAACCAAATTTGCAGAGGAATGCGATTCTCAACTTGCCTTTTGATTGCATGTCAGAACTGTGACAAATACACACATGTAGGGGTTTGGCCGCGTACTAGTACCTACAGAGTAATCGGAAGTGGTACAGGATCGGAATCTATGCATGCTACAATTTCTAGGAGAGTGGTTCTTCCAAGACTTTGTTGCTGCGATTGGATCCAGTGGGTCGCATATTATCAACCAACAGGGCGTGCAACTGCTGTGACCTGATCCACTGGCTGCAATTCCACATCTAGGGCATAGTTATCCAGATCCATCGTTGCTGTTGGCTCCTCCTGTAAACCATCTAGTATGATAGGCACCGCAGAAGCCACTTCCATTGGAGGAAGGACTGCAACAGAGTGTTCTTTGTCGGTCTTGTGAACAGAGAAACTGGAAAAGGAACCCTTGCACCCATTGTTTTGTTGGCACGAGCCTTCAAAGGTTATGGTTGCGCTACTAGTGCTTTCAATATCGCTCCGGAAATTCCCTGTGACGAGATACTTGATTCTACTGCCAGGAATATGTTCCACCCAGCACGCCTTGCCATTGGAAGACACGAGCCCATTGACAATATTGTACCTTTCTCCCGTTTCATCTTTACCATTTCCTGTGATTTGTTTAAAGTTCGCCCTGACCCTGGCTGCAGCAATGGTATCATTCTGGTCGGATTGGATTGGTTTGAAGTGGATTATTCCCTTTTTACTGCACCCTCTGTTCCGGTACCCGTGTTTGTATGCGGTATAAAAAGTGGCGGATGAAAACGTGATGACGGGTGCTGTGCTGGCGGTGGTTCTTGTGGTATCCTGTTTCACTTCTTGTACGGCTCTCCGGTGTGCCTTATCCCACATTCTCCTTCTAATAACTGGAACCAAGCAAATGGCAAATCCCATGGCCACCACGCCCCCAACTATGCCGCCGATAATGCCTGGGTAGCTCTTTCCATTCTTTGACGAGGTGCCATCATGGAAAATGTACCCCAACGTGCCATTGCCCCCCAAAAGCTCCGACGCAACTAGGATCAAGACAAGGACGGAGACTTTCTGGTTGGGAAGTATGCATAGTCGAACCATGGTTTGGTTTTGCGTGCGAGTTGAGGCTCAATCTGAAGGGAGAGACGCACCTCTTCTTCGGTAAATGCATGATGCATGACATTGTGTTCTCGGTGCTCAAGAAACCCGCTTGAAATGGGTAGATTGAGTACAATTGGATAAAGGTAAACATAAATTTGACCCATGTGTTTAACACATCTACCTGATTCAAAAGTTATCTCGCTCCTTGCGGAAGAGACCAACCACGACTGAAAAGTGCCTTCCACAGCTGGGCAGTGGCTCAAACCGACTGATATTGTCGTAACTCGAGTTTTCCCGCATTAGCTGAAAGATAAGAGGTGGCGGGGAGTACGAGCAGCTTCGATTTTATTGATTCAAACGCGTGCCGGCTTTTCTGGTACATTTCTAGGAGAGTTCGTGTAGAAATGTACTGAGAAGTGTGGCGCGCGTTTGAATCAATAAAATCGAAGCTTCCTGTAAGAGGTGGTACGGTAAAGAGCACTAAAAGATGGTGAAAGTTGGTAAAAGGCTGCAAACAGGCGGTAAAAGAGGCGGTGGCAGGTGGTTGAAGGCGGTGGAAGACGGTCGAAGGTGGTTGAAGGTGATAAACCATGCACACAAGAGGTCTAAAGCGATGCCGGAAATAGTAAGTTGATTTGAGCCACCCCCCCGAGGAAAAAGAATTAAGATTTCACGTCTCTTCAACTTTTTCAACCTTTCCAGGTACGGTACTTCGTACCGGGGTATTAGAGACTGCAGGACGAATGACGATTCGTGTCGTGGATCAATAGAATCCTAATTCATTTTTGGGAGCGTTTTCAAAAATTCATTAGAGCTCTTTTTTGATCTCTAATGCATTTTTGAAAACGCTCCCAAAAATTAATTAGGATTTGATTGAGCCAGGACTCGAATCGTCATTCACTCATTCACTCCAAGGAAGATCGGTGATACCGTCACGAGTGTGGTTGGACTAACCATTGTATGGACGTGTGGACAGAGGCGAGCTCAGCGCAACAGGAGGCCGAGGCTGGATTAGAAGGCGGAGATGGTGGGTCCTTATGTTAGAATCTTAAAAGCTTAAAAGAGCAAGTCCTCGCATGCAAGCCGGCATTCTAACTACTAGAGTTGTCAAGAGGATAGCTGTTGTTTGTCTCAGAAGTCAAGCCTAAACTGAAACTATGTCTAAACAGCAGACAAGGACTTGGTTAGGAACTCTTCGTAGCTGCCACCAAAGAGCCTACTGATATCTCGTCGAATCTCTCCCCGGGTTGGTGTCCAGCCAGAAACATCCAGTTTGGCATACTCCTCCGCCAGGACATTTGCGATCATTGCCCTAGAATGAGGCCATTTGTACAACAGCTGATCCAGGACACGAGCATCACTGTGCTGGGCAGTGAAAGCAGTCCCAAGCATTTCCACTCTCATTTGCGTAATCTCTCGAATGATGCTGGGATTGTTGCAAAACCACCTTCAAGTTAGGACGAATCAGAAAGAGGAAAGGATAAGTTCAAAACATTGCCTTGACAAGCAACAGACCAGCCAGCAACTTTTGCATTACGTACCAGCAACCATAGATGTGAAGGTTCCGAAACTTGGATGCCAGAACCGCCGCTTCATGTTGATTGTTGCGAGAGAGGAAAGTGGCGAGAAACAGCACCTTTGGGAATCGTGAGCACAACCGGCTCAGAACACCGGCATCTGCAAAGGCTACCACCCCATCACCTGCCGACTGGAGCTGTTTGTTGACTCCACGGTGTGCCCCAATCTTGAGTGCCACAGGAAGATTCCGCTCCTCGCAAACCTTCATCAAAACCTCACTGAGAAAGTCGCTGTTCTCGTCAAGGACGGTCGGTGAATCGTCTTCTGCACCATCACAATTGACTACGCAATCCGCCATGTTGTTGGTTTGGTCCACGAATGCAAAGGGCTGCTTCATCGCCTCTTCATTTACACCAGTCTTCTTGACACCAGCCAAAGATCCTTCCCGCAGAACGAAATCGTGCGGAGTGGATGCCTGTGGGTGGGTAGAAAGCGCTGGTTGTTGAGATTAGGCGACACTTTTCAACGTGCGTCGCCAAGCCCACTCACCATCATGTACTCTGGTTTCATGGTGTCTGCATTTGCGACCAAATGGATTGAATCATGGCGATTCAACAAACAAAGTGATGAGCGTCAGAAGAAATGGCGCCAAGACTTTTGTACGATATACACACCACACCAATCTCGCAGATATTGTCGAGCCCCTTCCAAAGTGACCTCGTACCCCGATGTTTTCAGCGCCTTCTCTATCGTGGCGCGGTCACCCGACAAGAGAGGGTCTACCCGCAAGGCCGAGCGGTATCGCTCAGAGTAATCCTTTCGTTCGGGCCGCCAATGTTGAGCTTCGTTCGTATCGAATGGAATGTTGGTCATTACTGCGTACTGCACGCCGCTTTGGGCAAACACCCTTTCGCTAAATTCCTCGGTTCCTTCCAATCCACGGTCGCGATATGAGGCGTAGAACCTTCGAATGGCCTCCAAATCCCTCGTTGCGACTTCGTTCGACAGTCCCAATGCCACCAGAGTGGTAATGACACCGCGGCAAGCCTCGGAGACGGGTGATCTATCGACAAAGAGTGCCTGCCAGATTACATCGGCTTGTTCTCGTTTGCCAAGAGCATAAAAGCTTTCGGGTGTCATGGACGCTGGCGCTGTCATAAAGTACTCGGCAACCAAGTAGTGCTGGGAATACAAGGCAAGGCAAGGAATCAGATGGTTGGCATGTGCTACGAAACAAGCATGGAAACATGCAGGCAACTTACATAGGTCAAAAGTTCATCAAACCCCCACAGACACAACATGCCATGCGACGGTGGCAATAAATGAGTGTGTAGATCAATGACCAGGGTAGAGGCAACCTCGGAAATCACAACCGACGTCATTTCTTCCGCTTGTACGGGCGTCTTGAGTAGTTGACTGGACAACGGAATGGGACTGGGTCGATAGAACAAGGGTTTACGACCGTGCTGTTGTTGCGCGGTCATGTCATCCACCAATGCCGCACATTCCGTGGCCATTCCCTTGGGGTTGTAGGGTCCACTGGCTTCTTGCATTTCTTCCAACATTTCGACGAGACTATCGCCCGCCACCATGCGAGCATACAGGGTCGCAATGGCCTTGACAAAGTCTCCAAATGCCGGTTTGGCCGCTGCTGCCGCTCCCAAATTACCACCTTCCGGCGACAAAAGATAGGCTCGAATGACAGCTTGATAGTCAGCTGGTTGATGCGCCGTGGTACTTGTTCCGTAATAGTACGATGCCAAGACTTGACTCAATGTACGAGGATCCTCTCCTCCTGCCAGCCGCACTTTACAAGCGCATTTGAACTCGTACCATCCTTCTCCCCAGTTGTGACGCAGTCCATCCGCATACGTGACGCTATCGTTGTTGTCGTCTGTGTGGATTGCTGCATGACGATCCGCTCCCGCCAACCATCCGATAAAAATTCCCTCCTTTGCATCGCTGGAATCGCGGGGTGTCAACCACCGCAACAAGACGGCAAAGGCAAATGCCATGGTGACCGTCAATGGTTGTTCTTGTCGCGATAGTAACAAGTCACGGACAGTCGGTCCGAGTCGTATGCCTCCTTTAGCGGCGGCATTTTGGGTAATGAAAAAGGTGGCCAGTCCAAAATGAGCATGTGTCAATCGGGGCCTCCAATCGTCAAAGTAGGTCGCTTTGGTTTCGGGGGCGTGTGTTCCAAATCCGGGAAACGAGGATGGGACAATTTGATGTTGGACCAAGGCATCCAAATAGGCCAAGAACAAGTTGGCCGTCAAGACGGCATCTTCATTGATATCATCATCCTGGTTACTGTTGGTAGTAGCCAATGCGAGTTGATCCGTGTTGCCCCATTGCAGCAATGCCATGGCTTGCGCAATGGCCGTGTGGGTGGCATTGGCGACTCGGAGTTTGAGGGCAATGTCGCCTTGAATATGGAGTGGATTGGTGCGAATCACCAAGCCATACTTACTGTTGTCACGAAAACACGTGGGCAAATCCCCGCGGGGATCGCAAATGACGAGTGCCTTGGCGGGGATGGGTTCACAGCGGGGAATCATGCCATCGGATCCCGGACGTTGCGAGGTGATGCGATCGACCATGGTGTTGAGAAAGGCCACGTGTTGTTGTAGATATTCCGTCATGGCCATAGTACTTTTACTTGTATCATCCGCCTGATCACTAGCAGCCCTGGCGAGCATGTGTTTTTGAATCACGTCTCCATTGTTGGGTACATTGTCCATGTTGATGATGCATAGTTTCTGATTTGGCGTATTGGGTGCTTGCCAGGACTTGTCGTCGCCATATTGTTTTTGACAACATACCGTGAGCAATTCATAGAGATCCTTCATGACTTGCGTCTCGGGCGACGACAATCCCGCCTCAGTGACTCCCAATCCAATAATATTGCAACGCGTCATGCGGCTGTGAATCAATTCTCGGTACAAGGCATCCTTATTGGGAGCGTGTCCCAAGGAAAATGCCCCAAAACACTTGACAAAAACCGTCTCGGTCTCCCCATTGTACTGCACGGTATCAATGGGATAGGTAGCTTTGCTGTCAGTGTTTGTTTGTCGAGCTGACATGAATTGGACAAAACTGGTGCCTCGTGTCTGAATCAGTGCCGGCTTGCACTCGTTGGTGGCCACCAAGGGGGGGATCAAGACGGAACGCAAAAATCGACCCGTTCCAAGACACAAACAGTCAATCTCCTTGGCTTCATCGCTATCATTGGCGAGCCAATAATGAGGAGTTTCCATCGTGTCTGTCGAATATAAGTATGGAAAGGATTGGATAACGAGTGACAGGCGTAGTAGAAGTTGTTGCTCGGTGGGTAGAGTTGGTACGGTACAAGCAAGATAAAGAAAAAGTCTCAAGGATGAGTTCCAACCAGCGACAGCGTGGGAATAATATTCGCTCAAGCTCAATAATAAATCTCGTTATTGATAAATCCAATGAAAACACTTGCTTCGAAAGCTTGATGATTGGTGAGCCCAACGGAGGTGAGAGGGATAATGGAGCGATCGAGCTTCGAATCGAAGCGAATCTTGATGAGTGTCCTCTGTCGGTCGTTCCTTGGCGTCAACTGCGAGATGATGGGAAGGCTGAAGTCGTCGTGTCATCGACGATTCGAATGAGTCGAGTAAGATCCAAAAGATCCAATTTTCCGCAATCAGGAAACCGGCTTGATGACATTGCCTGGATGAAAATGACATGCAGGCCATGCCTGTGTAACTACTAGCTAGCTAGCTAGCTAGCTCTCTACACCCACAGCAGCAACGTCCCGCTGCCATTGCCTGCCTGAGAAATATTGACCATTCCATGGGGGGAACTTCATGACATTCTACTAGCTGTTACTGTATGCAAGCACTACCCATGAATCCCCACCACCAGAGCGTCTTCGAAAATGGTTGCTTTCCAGGCCCTATTCCAAAGGAAGATGTAGAATAATGAGCTCCCAGAAGCTTTCCCTTGTACCGTAGTAGAGAATCATTTACAGTTATTTTCAGTATCAGTTCAAAGTTTGTGTGCCTCGCATTCTTGCACACAGACTAGCTACAAGCTCCGTTCCGCCTCGGCATCTTGTCGCATGATTTCGTGTGACTTGCGCAAAAGCGTTCGATAATCCTGTTCGGTCATGCCCATGCTTTGCAAAAATCCATTGCATTGTTGAATGTAGGTGTCATTGAGAGCTCCCATAAGTGAGAATCTAGTGAAAAACACATCCCATCGTTCTTCAATGGCTTCCACCTGATCCAAAAAGGCCAACTTGCCCAATGGATCAAACGTATCATATTTGGCTCCAAATTCAATCAAACTTTGATGATCGCGACAGAGTTTTTCATATTCTTCCTTCACAACACCATCTAGCTTGGCATCATCAAATGGTGGACTGGTAATTTGTTCGGCGGCCGTCATGGCCGACATGGAGGGCGATGGTTTGTCAGCAGAGTCGTTGTTCGCTTCCGCCATGAGTTTGCCAAGATCGATATCGGGTGGTGGAAGAGGTGGATGTGTATTGTCGGCCATGGCCCGCATACAGGCCGATTGCCATTTCATCATGGCACCCAATTGTGCCACCGATTGTCCGTGGACATTCAAATGGGCTTCGGTCAATTTGGCATATTCCTTGGTTTGAAAGTCTCCACTCATGCGTAGACGGGCCACCAGCGTTTCCCATTGATCGACGGCGTGATCCAATCCATTGGCAACCACGCGGAGTCGTTCGGGTTCGGGAGTTTGTCCCATTTGCAAGTCGAGTTGGAAGCGGGTCATTTCGGTAGCAAAATCCGGAGCATGTTCCTGCATTTCGTCCATGGGAGCATCCATTGCCGTTGCGGCGGCACTGCGAAATGGACAAAAGGGTCCTATCGGTGTCAGAGCCATGAACAAGATACTACTACATGGTCGTCTTGGGTCATGACAATGGTGGTTTCTAGCGGTAGTGGGAAGAGGATGCTGTGAGAATGCCTGGCTGGATGGAACCAAAAGAGCAGCAACCGCCACCAGTAAGATCAGGAAATTCCAGAGGTGGGACCAGTGATGATTCGTCATGGTACTTCTTTGTTGGGCTGATAATGGATTTTAAAATTGCGGAACATGGCCGTGGCCGTTTTGTGATGGCAGGTGTCATGGTGGCAAGAAGGGATCCAAGCGGAGATTGAGCAACTGAGCGCCCTATTATGCTACCCTACACCTACCGTACACTTCTACGGTAGAGCGCCAGACGCATACCTCCCACCCGGGCAAGATTGGTTTTTAAAAAGCCGAAGACCGACCATGGCCACAACCGCTTCGACAGCGATCGACGGCACCACCCTCCCTCTGATACTCAGGTAGGCAGCATCAAACGCCACCACAACAAAGGAGGTTCGTTCTACACATCGAATCCCAATAGATCCAATACTGTACTGTACATGATACCGGTAGCTACGGTAGCTAACAATGGCATCATCCAAAGCCGCGGGGTATACAACTCGCAAACTGTACCAGACATATCCAGCTCTTCGACGAGAGGTCAACAAGGTTCAACAAGAGATCTTTGGCTATTTTCCCAACTTGGGTGTTCGAACGGGCCACCAGAAAACAAAAAAGTCACTCCAAGGGGTCTACCTGAACCGATATTATGATGAACCCATTGACAAATATGCAAGAAAGGTGAGTGTTGTGTTGTTGATATCATTCACGAGACAATGGAACTGCAGTTGTATAATAGTGAGGCTGCCCGCGATCGGTACAGTATCTGCTGTCCATGTGGCCGTTTGGATTTTGCTAATCAATCATGCTATTGTTGTCTGGCTTGTCATTATTATAAAACAGGCCCACCCTGAGGGATTCATGACAGAGTTGCAAGAGAGAAGACACGTCAAGCGAGAGTTCATGAGAAGAAAGGGCAAAGGACCACCCAAAAAGGGATCTGGAAAGAGATCCAAGAAATAGAAGCTTACAACAACAATGTAGTCCTGATTGAGAGGGAGTAAAATGGAATAGAAAGGAGGATTTAATTTTAGATTAAACTGTCTGTCCCGACCACCCCGAGCTTTCTACCACCTGCAAAGAATTCGAGCACGAAGCCACGACGACGAGACATCGGAACGATTGAGGAAGGTGCTACGGTATCATTATGATACCGTAGTTTGATAGTTTGAACAGAGGGCCCTATGATAACTGTTGTGACGGGAGAATGGCATTTACATGCATTCACGTCATCAACAGAATCAATCGAGTCGAGTCCACGACGATCGAGAACGACCACTCTACCGCTATGCATAGCTATCGTAGTTGGAGAGATTGATCTATCTAGGAAAGGTCTTCTCTACTTGGTTAGATATTAGGAGCAAGGATCACAACTACATCCACACAGATTTGTTCCATAGCAGGCAGACAGGTTGCTGGTTGCCACTCCATAGCAACTGTCCCCATAACAGAGCTGTTCCTCCTCTGGAGGGAGTGGTACCTTGTTGCACAGTCCATGAGGGATACTCCCTCTCAAGGATGTGTTCGTAGATGCCGCCAGTGCAAGGAAAGCTACGAGATCTACCAGTACCAATCCAAAGTGGACCAAAACGACGGTGCTGCCATGGAAGCAAGCGACTAGCTAGCTAGAGGTGCGAAGATCCAACTTGGAAGGAGGAAATCGTACCGGTACTAGACTACTAGCTAGCTACTCTTGGTGCAACCACCGGAAAGCGTAGAGCTCCTGTACAGGAATATGGATCAACTACCGGAATAATTTAGGGTTAAAGTTCATAGTTATTTGTTAGTTTCCGGTGGTTGATCTTTTCCAGTGGTTCATCCAAGAGTAGCTAGTAGTAGCTACGAGTATGCATAGGTAGTGACTTTGTCACTCGAATCGAATCGAATCGATGACAGGAAGTTGAGTTAGTCGAATAAGTCAAAAGCCAATGATTCCACTTTTAGGTCAAGTGGAGCTACTAGACTATAGCAAGATCATGTCAATATGGGTCTATAGAGGTTGTAAACCTCCCCTCCAGACTAGGATCCAGGCAAAGGCAATGGCCCTGGTAAAAAAAAGAGAGATAAAAGCGGACCAATACAACTGCAACCGATCTCCACAGGGGAAAGGCAGAAGGGACGTCTATTATATATATCAGAAGTGCAAGTGCACCATCGGCACCACTGAGAACCAACACCTAGTCCACCATCAGCGACCAGAGACATGGAAGATACCTGTGACGACTGGAACTAACTCACCGAACAGTACAAACATCTCAGACACGTACACCCTCGTGCAAGACGACCTGGCGTATCCTTCACGGCACGAGTGCGCCAAGTTCAGGCTGGAACCAAACTGCGGCGGCAACACCCACCCAACACCATCCGCACACAAACCCGCCTGCAGCCCGCAAGAACCGTGCCTTCGTCAAACCATACCGCGAGTGAAGAAGGGTGACCGCATCATTCATCTCCCGCAACGACAATTACAACGAGACGGACAGGGTACCATCCAAGAGCCCGCCCTGTGCAGATGGCCGTTCGTGGGACATCAAGCTGGACCCCAGATGTGCCTGGCGGGTATCACAATCGACGTATACAAGACGACACCGCTTCCGCTTGATGAAAGCAGGTAACTCTACAGCCGGTCGGGACATAAAAAACGCAGCAACAAACAACAACAGCAGCAACAACAGCAACACGCCAAGCTCGCCACCTCCCGTGCAGTCGGCGGCGTAATTGGGCGGCTTGGCCGGCCGACACGGGGGATTATATATATGGTAGTCATGAGGGTCTGGCTCCGACGGAGGGTAAATTGGATGGAAGTAGGTCTGTCTGTGATACATGCAGCAGGCCTCTCTGGTATAACCAGGGCCATTGCCTTTGCCTGGATCCTAGTTGGAGGGGAGGTTTACAACCTCTATAGACCACATATTGACATGATCTTGCTATAGTCTATAGCTCCACTTGACCTAAAACTGGAATGCCCACCTTCCAGACAGGGAATGAAGAGATTCTACAGAACGGAGAGTATGAGTTAACAGGGAGCCGACCATAAGGGAGACTGACGGACAGGAATCCGGGAGAGCCACTCATCCAAGGATGAGGTGGTGGACCGAAGTGTCGGGTGCACAGGTGGGTGCCTATGTGGTGTTGATGACTAGCTAGAAGGACTACTAATCGGGCAGCGCTACAAATCAGGTTCACTTTTTCTGAACCAGAGTTGCAGCCGCCGACACCAATTTTCCTTTTTTCCCTTCCTCCGCCGGGTAAATTGGATGGAAGTAGTCTGTCTGTGATACATGCAGCAGGCCTCTCTTGTATA